CTGTTGTTTGTAAAACAGTACCCTACCCCCCCCCCATTTATTATTGTCTGAATTTACATTTTACACAAGCAACAGTTTATCAAAAGGCAAATCAACTTGGTAGCAATGATATTGATACACTAATACACTGTTACAAGATTTTTTTTATTTGTCCTTCACTTTCTTCGGAGATGTCGGCGTGTATAAAATATATTTTATTATAGCTTGATACGAATGATTAAATATCTGTGGTCATGTTTCAGACTTTCAGATGTTCAGACGTTTTTCAGACTGGGTCATTCTAACGGTTCGATTTATTTAGCGCTTTTTGTTGAGTAACTATAGCCTATAGCAACACCACGCAGGTTTTGTCATTGTGGATAGATCCCAGATAGCATTGCATATCTGTGATGAATCTCTAGTGAATGACAGTTTTGGTTGCATGATAAATGGAGGGCTTTTTTTTTCTTTTCTATTGGAGAGTGCAAAAGTGTGTTTATGATAACTATGTGCAGATGTGATGGTGTTCCTGAAAATAACCAGAAGCTTAGGCTATCCAATATCGGAAGGTGGTATCAGTTTCATCATCTCTTCCGAAATCGTATAATGTGTTACATAAGTGTCGTTTAAAACGTTCCAGAATGTTAAGAGATGGAAGTCATTTAGGTCAGAACTAGGCCTTCACTATACGAACGCAGTCGCGAACCCTTGGCCTGAATAAAAAAGTGGGTAAAATAGGGCCATATATACTTCATACGACGTAATGGGCCCCAAATAAAGACAGGCGAAGTCTGATTTTACGAAGGCCTACTTTCCTATAAAATATAAACATATGTTAATAATGTCTTATAAACATTATTGATTTAAAAAGTAGGTGACTCCGCGATAGTTGCGTATGCGTAGGCCTCCATTAGGCCTTGTTTGGCAGTATTTCACACAGTATTCATGTACTACAATTTCCTGAAGATACTTTGCCATCTTTGGACCTGACAATTTCCCTACGATGTTTTCTTAATTATTAACGAGAGTAACGAGGGACCTGCTAGTGTGTTGCTACGTAAAATAAAGTTAAATATAGCCTAATCTATTTCCAGAAAAAGGCTATGCATTTCCCAGTTGTTGCTTTTTTAATTTTTTAATTTTTATTTTTTTTATAACATTAGGGCGTGTTTAGACTCACGTATAGCCTATTATTTTCATATTGTATTTTACACATTTTATAATGTCTGACATATGTCTTACATGCAACATGACACTGCTGGGTGTGGCCACACCTTAAAGGAGGACTGCCTTATATGGTGAAAGGTAGAAAACGCTTCGACATAAGATTTAAATTTCTAAATTAATAAGGTTGCTCACTAAATGGAAACAAATATTATTGGGACAGTTCCTGCTTTGTTTGTTACTAGAGTTAACAGGGAATAAAATGCAGAGAATACATTTTTTTTTTTTTTTGTTAGTTTTCTTGTAAGGTGTTTAAATATTGCTGGCCCACTTTGGCTGAATTCAATTCAATTCAAATTTATTTGTATAGCGCTTTTCACAATACACATTGTTTCACACTGAATGTGTTAGATAAAGTGGGCCAGTGGGATTCAGGTAAATTGGGCCGACCTCTAACCTTCAGTTATTATACTCAAACTAACGTTAAAAAAGTGAAATCGCAATCAACCACCCCTTTAAATAAATTGACATTCAATGGTTATTTTATAATTGACTTGTATAATTGACTTTTTTAGAAAACAGAAATGACTCTGCAGTCAGGAAATTCAAGTCAGAGATGGAAGAAAGGAAAGAAAGAATAGAAAGGAAGTTGAGGCATGAAGTTCAATCTGTGGAGTGAAGAAAGGATGAGAGGAGCAAAATGTAGATGCAGTATATAAAGCTTAAAATATGAACATAATTAAAGTTAATTTAAAGTGTTTAGAGAACATAGACAAAAACACTTTTTTTTTTTTTACATATTTACCATTTTAAATGTTCCTCTTATTATTTTTTTTGCCTATTTGTTGTTGCTTATAGTTTCTGTCGTGTTATAGTCACATTTTTTCAATATATTGTAGAGTTCATTTTTTGGCAATATTCTGATTTCTGAATATTCTGATATTCAGATTTCATCAAATTCAATGTCAACACAACACGTTCTTTCAGTTGTCTGGAATTTCACACATGAATTGAGACAAGGATTTACACATGGTTTATTTGACTCATAACCTATAGGTTATATAATTTTGGGTTGGTTAAATATGTTTGTCTGATAATATGTGTTAATATATATCATGTGTTTTTAAGATGCAGAATAATTTTTTAATAAATAAGGAATGGCCCACTTTACCTGAAAAGAATTTTGTCTGGAGTGCATCTCAAAATGTTTATTGGTATATTATAGCTTGCAAATAACACTTTATATGAACTGTATTCAAATTGAAATATTATAACTGGACCTTAAAGTGAACAAAAGTAATAAAAAAAGAAAAGAAAAGAAAAAACATCTAGGTGGCCCACTTTACCTGAATCCATATGTCTATCAAAACAGATCTTATTCATAGTATTGCATGATGAAGAGTGTTTTTGATTTCTTTTTGTATTTCAGTGCAATTAAGAAAAATCACGTCACATATTCCATCAAATTAATTTACTTTAATTCATTAATTCATCAAATGTCCCTTTATAGTTGTGTTTCGGGCCTAATAGGCTATATCATAGTTTTTCAGCTCGTTATTTTTTATAGCATTGGCATGGTACCATCAAAAACAGTATTTTTGTAATTTTCTGAGTTCTGTAAAATTATAATTTTTTTTTTTTTTACCGCTTATGTCTCACAGGGAATCTATTATTTTGTACTATTTTGTAACTGATTTTCATAGAGTTCCTAATCTGTTCTTCGCTTTGAAAAGATGCATGCAAAGCAGATGTAAATATACGTAACATTCGACTCTGCACTTCGTTAGCGCCGCCGCGATCCTCTCGAGTGTATCTTGTGTCCCTAAATGATGACGCGTGCATCGTCATTTTCAATCGTCAAAACATTCTTGAGTTGTGTAATTTTCTGCTGCGACAACGGAAAAGCTCACAACAGACTAGTACAGCATCCACGCAGAATGTCTCTTTTACATGTTTGCTGTACTACAGTTAGAGGTTTTGTAAAGAAAGGATTATTTTTAGAGTCGACTTATACTGGTGAGTGCAACCTGAATACCTTTGATTGGGTTTTAACTGTTCATTGACATGCTTGCACAACAGGCATCGATTTGTACAAATGTCATATTGATATGCATAATTTCTAAACTTCCTTTATATTTATTACTGAGAATCGTGTTCGAGTATACATGTCAGTTTGCGACGGATTTGTCAAAGTGTCTCGCTGCTGTTATTCCTATGTATCTGCAGCATGTCATAGGACAGCAGGATATGCATCTGGTGGTGTGGCCAAAGATAAAGAACCGTTAAAGAAAGCAAAAACGCCCCAAGGACGCTTTGACATGGACGAAACCGAGTCAAAATCTAAAGATGTTTTTGAACGTAAGAACACACGTCATTTCTGTTATACAGTTATATTATTATTGTGCAATAATTTACATAGGTATTTATCGAAAGGATAGGCTATACACAATAAATTGGAAAAAAAGTAACTTGCGTTACTTATTTGAAAAAGTAACTAAATATTCTCTTGTAAATTAAAAAGTAATGTTACTTTACTAGTTACTTAAAAAAAGTAATCTGATTACGTAACTCACTTGTAATGAGTTACCCCCAACACTGCACATGAACTATAGCTCAGAATTTCTTTCTTTTTTTAATAAATGACTAATTAAATGTATTTTAAGTTTATACAATTAATGACATAAAATGGAACAATATTTAATTTCCCCTTTAACAGGATTTCCAGATGATGTGAATCCAGAAACTAAGGAGAAAGGTGGTCCCAGAGGTCCTGAACCTACACGATATGGTGATTGGGAGAAGAAGGGACGTTGTATTGATTTTTAATTTGCCCTGTTAAAAATATCCAAATGTATTTATTTTAACATTTGAATGCGAGTAATAATTCTGTATACAGATACAAAAAGAGAATTTCTGGAATGTTTGTCTTTGCCGATTGTATGGACCTACTATGTAGGATGAATAGTTTGTGTAAAAGTAGTTTGAACTACTTGAACGGTTCTGTTCAGCCTTTAATTGACATTTTGAAAAGAATCTGCTATTAGAAATCAAATGTTTTCATTCTCTTTGAAAGTGGGTAACAAAGTCTGCAAGGCCTGAAAGATCTCTTCAAAGAATAAACATATTCAACATATATATTTTTTTGTCAGATTTCATACATTCATAGAAAGTTTTGTCACAAGGACATGTGTTTGTGTTTAATATCATGTAAATTATTCAGTTTTATTTCGTGGGAAAAAAAAGTTATTACTGCAAAAGTTTTCCTATGTATCTGCACATGGATTGTTACAGATAAGCAGTACCATATCAGCATTTAAGGAGAGGCTAAATGCATTATCAGGGCACAACAGCAAGGCTGGGAGAGAAAGCCCGATCAGCATTTAAATGAACATTTACCATGATGGTGGTATTACTATAATAACTCTGCAAAGATCACAAAACTGAACAACCGATGGAAAATTGACTGATATCTTGCAGAGTATGATGAATCTTGAACGCAAATTCAATAAATAAGGTATACATTGCTGAACAGTGTCGTTTTTCTCATAGTATTTTGTATTTGATATATTTTCTCTAAATAATTTTGATGTTTATTTAAAATAAGTGGCTAAAACTTTGCATGGTTAAAATTTATGTTTAAAGTTTAATAAGTTGTAATAATTTCATTATTATTTATTAAAAAGTTTATTGTCACAGTTTAAAATGTAGACATTAAACGTTCGCACATTTACTTATAATGTCACCTAGTTTGTAATATAGCTTTTGCCAAAGTAAATTAATCTATTTACCAGGATTTAAATATTTGGCCAGTGACAACATTCTAAGTAACGTTAATGTAAGATATGATTTAAACATATTTCGCGTCAAACCGGCTGTCCAACCTACCAACACATACATACGTCAGCAATGACGCAAGAGTCACAGTGCCCTCTTATATTTGGATTTCACAAAGCATTAGTCTGACTTTTAAATCGGCAAAAAAATAATATAACACTTAGATTTGATTAAACGTTCTCCCAGTTCCCAATTCACCGTATTTCTTAATTCTATTTTAATCGGCTCACCGTATCTTCCTCGTCTCCGTTTCCGCTTCCGCTTCCGCTCAGTTCCTCCAATCGGCCATATTCCGCCGATCTGTCTCAACCCAGCCGCCGCTCCGTTGCCGTGAGCCCACCACAGTTTCATTTCACAGGGGATGGTCTTCCATCTATAACGATACAATTGAACAGAGTGAATCGGGGGCAAGACAGGTGATTTTATCCAGAAACGCTGACAGAAAACGGGCCGAGATGACGACGCGATCGGAGAGGGAAAAGGCTCAGAAACTGAACGAGCAGCATCAGGCCATTCTGTCCAAAATGCTGAGAGAGGATGATAACAAATACTGCGCCGACTGCGAAGCCAAAGGTGATATGATCTAAAATCTCCTCCGCTACTCTTGAAAACTCGCGTTTGATGTTTTGATCACCTGTAACTTACGCGGTATGAGTCTCGTTACACACTAGGGCTGTTCAGGTTTTTTTTTACGGCTCTCGGTCCTGAGTCACCCGGGAGGAAACCCGTAGCTGGCTGTCAGAACCCACTGAGCCGTCTAGTTAGACAGCGTATTTGATCACGTTTGAATTGAATGATGCTCAGACTCTGTTTAGTTTGACAGCTGACTGGGATTTGGTATTCGGCGAATCACTATTCAGCCATGTGTCCTTGAGCAAAACCATTACTAATGCATGAATGGAAAACCAGTCTGGAGTTGAACTGATCAGCAGGTCTGATACTCTCACCGCAGTGTTTCATTACTGTGGAAGAGTTATACAGGAGAGAAGAACCTGTATATGTGTACTTGCTTTAATGATGCTACAGATGAACACTGCTTTGTTCCACATATCCACCTGTTTCATAATGGTTCATCCTAGAACAGAGTATATAATACCCTGTTATGTGTCCACAGGGACTATGCAGCTAGAAGTGATACTCTACCATCAAGCAAGTGAAAGCAGTTTTAGTTTCTACCAATATCTTTTCTTCAGATTGTAACCAGGTGACTGTAACCATAATAGCTGCTCAAGTGGGTGGTCTCTCTGTTTGGTTTGGGGGGTGTTTACTTGAAATAATATAGTATAGTGTTTTGGTGCTCACAGGGATAGTTATGTTTTGTAATAATATGAGAGTTTAATGTGTAAAGAATGTTGAGGAGGACTAAAATGAAGGTAAGATTTTAAAGACGAAATGGAAAAAATGTTTTTTTTCTAAATGCATGTTATAGAGCTTATTGTGAACAATTAATCCATGCATGCTTCATTATTTGAAAATGCTTTGACCTCTTAATGTTTAATCAGAATGTCATAACTCAATCTTCCAGTGAATCAACAAGTGATGCATAGAACCAAGAGCCGCCCTATTATTTTTTTTGTTTGTTTCGTTAATCCATTACACTCGAATGTACGCCACAATACAGAAGAAAAGATTTGTCACTCCTTCCGTTTTATCGTAACTTTAATATGCCGTTGTTGTAAACATTGCAAGCAGGACCTACACTGTCTCTTTGGTGTAGTTGTGTGCAGTCGTATTTGAGCTGAACATTGAAAGCAAAATGCATTCTCATTTCCTCTCGGTTGCATGGTGCATGTTTTCTTTTTTCTTTCCTTTTTTTTTAATTGAGTGACATTGCTATGTTTGCCAGCTACTGTCTTACCAACAGATCCTGATGCAAGCTCATAGGTGGCCTGTTACAAACTCAGATATTTTCTTCAGATGTTTGCTTTAAATTCTGTTATAATCCCTCTTCTGTCTTCCCATCAAAATCCATTTTCTCCATAGAGAGCATGTGAGAATGTTAAGGCAGTCATCAGCTCTGTGGTGATGTCGCAGGCCAGCACCTTCTCAAGCTCCCCTCTCAGCTTTCGTCTTAACCAGACCAGTTTCATCCACTCTGAGCTCTCCGGTGTCTTAAGTGCAGCCACACCTCACTGCTCATATTGCCTGGCCTCTTTCTGCCTCTGTCTCTCTCTTACATAATAATGCCGATGCTGATGGGAGGAGTTTTGTAGCTTCATTAGCTTATGAATGTGACAGCCTTGAGAGAATGTTAGTCAACACCCTTTACACACAAAAATGAAAAGTCTGTCATTCTTTACTCACTCTCATGTTGTTCCAAACCTGTGTTTCTTTTCATTCAAAAATATGTTTTTGAAGAATGTTGGTAACCAAGAGTGTTGGTGACCTTTGACTTCCATTGTATGTAGGGATGGAACGATTACCGGTTTCATGATAAATCACGATAAAATGCCCTGACGGTTAGTATTATCGTTTAAAATTTAATTATCATCAAAACCGTGTTTGATTATCGCGCTTTTGAAAACTTGTCTGATACTGTCACCGTAGTATTTCATTGTGTAAGATGTTATACAGGAGAGATTAACCTATATATGTGTACCTGCTTTTTAATGATGCTACAGATAAACACTGTGATGCCTTTGTTCCACATATCCACCTGTTTTATAATGGTTCATCCTGAAACAGTGTATATAGTACCCTATTATGTGTCCACAGGGACTATGCAGCTAGAAGTGATACTCTACCATTAAGCAAGTGAAAGCAGTTTCTACCAATATCTTTTCTTCAGCTTGTAACCAGGTGACTGTAACCATAATAGCTGCTCAAGTGGGTGGTCTCTCCGTTTTGTTTGGGGGGGTGTTCACTTAAAATGCTTATACATGTATGTGTTTTGGTGCTCACAGGGAAGGCTATGTTTTGTAAATAACATGAGAATTAATGTGTAAAGGACTAAAATGATGGTCAGATTTTAAAGACGAAGTGGAAATTTCACCATTTATTTTCTAAATGCATGTTATAGATCTTATTGTGAACAATTAATCTGTGCATGTTTCATTATTTGAAAATGTTTTGTCCTCTTGATATTTAATCAGAACGTCATAACTCGATCTTCCAGTGAATCAACAACTGATGCATAGAACCAAGTGCCGCCCTACATTTTTTTTTGTTAATCCATTGCACTCGGATGTAAGCCACAATACAGAAGAAAAGATGTGCTGCTTGCTATTTCCATTTAATCGCAACTTTAATACAAGCAGATCCAACACTATCACTTTGTTGTGGTTGTGTGCAGTTGTATTTGATCTGAACATTGAGAGCAAACTGCATTCTCATTCCCTTTCGGTGGCATGGTGCATATCCATTTTAGTGCTTTAGTGGTCGTGACTGCTATTTGCCAGCTATAATCTTACTAACAGATTCTGATGCAAGCTCACAGGTGGCCTGTTACAAGCTGAGATATTTTTTTCCCAGATGTTTGCTTTAAATTCTGTTATAAACCCTCTTCTGTCTTCCCATCAAAGTCCATTTTCTCCATAGAGAGCATGTGGGAATGTTACGGCAGTCCTCAGCTCTGCGGTGATGTTGCAGGCCAGTACCTTCTCAAGCTCCCCTCTCAGCTTTCGTCCAGTTTCTTCCACTCTGAGCTCTTAAGTGCAGTAAGTGCAGCCACACCTCACTGCTCATATTGCCTGGCCTCTTTCTGCCTCTGTCTCTCTCAATGCCGATGAATGCCAATGCTGATGGGTGGAGTTTTGTAGCTTCATTAGCTTATGAATGACTGCTTTTAGAGAATGTTATAGTCAACATTAATAATATAAAATCTCAGACCAAAAGGCTGCACATTACTTTGTGAAATTGAAAATGTTCAAATACAGACTAGGGATGGAACGATTACCGGTTTCACGATAAATCACGATAAAATGCCCTGACGGTTAGTATTATCGTTTAAAATTTAATTATCATCAAAACCGTATTTGATTATCGCGCTTTTGAAAACTTGCGGTAAATCTTGTCCAGCCAGCATCAGTCTGACGCAGAAGCAACAAGCAATGTTGTTGTTGTTGTTTTTTTGATTGAAATGTTTTCAGTGTGTGTATCAGTTCTTTTTGAACGTTTTCATCTAATTTGAACAAAACCGTGATAATATTGATAATCGTGATAACTTTGGTCACTATAATCGTGATATGAAATTTTCATACCGTTACATCCCTAATTGTATGATCCTAATGACGCACTGTACACTATATGAGCAATGTACTCTATCTAGTGTATGCATTTTATATTAAGTACATCATCTGGGTATTTAGCTCTTTGAAATTTGAATGCATTACTCACAATCATAGGATAGTGCATGCATAAGCACACAAATTGGGACAGACCTTGAGACATTTCTCAAAAAACATAATTTATTTTCCACAGAAAAAGAGTCATACTAGTTTCATTTGTTGGTGAACTATCCCTGTAATACAGTTTCTAGGTGTTACTGTGCACTAATGCATCAGCACACATAATTCAGGGGGGGAAATTTTGTCTCTGTAAACGTTTTCATCAAACTGTAATAACTTGCTTCTCCTGCTGGCATCGCCTAGGCTGTGCAAGCTGTTGGGTTTTGCATTGGGTCTGTGGAATTCCCTATTTTAAACATCCTAATGGGTCCTAAACATCCTAACTGCTAATGGGTAAAATCAACTTTCAAGTCATTTTTTGCCTTGTTAAATATAAATTTTTATTCAGAAATAAGGCACATTATGAGCGTAAAATGGGTTGCAAGTGCCGTTTCATGATGGTTTCACTAAACCGAGGCCAACTTAAAGGGATAGTTTACCTAAAAATGAATATGGCTACACTCATACTGTCAGTGTTTGGGATTGATGACCGTATTTACTTTTAGGAATGAGTTTCAAAATGTCCTGTTCCCACTGCAGCTTACAATAGAGGCCCGAATACTGTCTGTATGAATGTGCAACTGAAGTCAAGCCTGTATTCTGTTTGTGATTATCACCTGTAACCATTGCGCATGTCCAAAGTACATATCAAAGATGGCAACATACAAAGTCTTATCACACTTGACACGACAAAAGTTCAACTGAGGCACAGTTTCATCCATCAAATCTTAGTTAACTGACCTCAGCTTTTATACCTCTGTAATGAGCAGAGCGTTTTAGTCACACTCAGACCACAAAACTGGATCAAATCTTCAGATGCCACACCGCTCTTATCTGCGTCCTGGGCCACCCTAAGCTGAGGGTCCCCCTCATTTGCGATCGCGTGACAGAAAACTAGTTGCCCAGTCTGGTTCTGTTCACACAGAAGGGATGTAACGGTATGAAAATTTCTTATCACTATTATAGTGACCAAAATTATCTTCAGAGGTACATTCATATAATTAATTCATTCATAGGCCTATATTAATTTGTATAATTCTTTTAAAACCTCCCAGCTTTTCCGCCCTGTTTTCACTCAAAACGAAACTACTCTGCATGCTGTGCGCATGTGAGACTTAAACTTTAAAGACTTTAAAGTTTACTTAAAACTGTGCTTTATGCTGGACACTGGACAGTATTTATTTATCG